TGAGTTTAGAGTAATTGCTATCAAAATAAAAGGATATATTCAATCTGCTTGAAAAATTTAGTTAAAACCTTACCCAAATGAAACAGAGCAGCAACCACATATAAAAATACCAGAAACAAACAAAAACTTGGGTCCTATTTTTGTTAACTGAAATTAGACAAAAAATTTAAAAATGAGCAGAACAATGTGGCTCTTTCTTTTGGTTTCAACATGTCAATCAATTTGGAGATGAAAATGATCTTTACTTATATAAACTTGTATAATACTTACAAAATATCCAAAAATAGGAGAGGTAACAAAGATGACGAACTCAAAACAACTAAATATAAAACCAACAGTAGTTTGGGAGGTGCCTTTCTTTCCAGCCTGAAATAAAAATGGATAAGGAAAATGCAAAAAAAGGGTGGAATACCACACAGAGTTTGGTGATGTCTGGTGTTGCAGTAACAGACAATAGTACAACGCTAGACCACCCTCTAGAATATAACCCAGAGTTTGGTGATGTCTGGTGTTTCAGTAACAGACAATAGTACAACAGTAGATCACCCTCTGGAATATAACCCAGAGTTTGGTGATGTCTGGTGTTGCAGTAACAGACAATAGTACAACGCTAGACCACCCTCTAGAATATAACCCAGAGTTTGGTGATGTCTGGTGTTTCAGTAACAGACAATAGTACCACAGTAGACCACCTTCTGGAATATAACACAGAGTTTGGCGATGTCTGGTGTAACAGACATTAGTAAAACAGTGGATCACCTTCTGGAATATAACACAGAGTTTGGCGATGTCTGGTGTAACAGACATTAGTAAAACAGTAGATCACCTTCTGGAATATAACACAGAGTTTGGTGATGTCTGGTTTTTCTGTAACAGTAGATCACCTTCTGGAATATAACCCAGAGTTTGGTGATGTCTGGTTTTTCTGTAACAGTGGATCACCTTCTGGAATATAACCCAGAGTTTGGCGATGTCTGGTGTAACAGACATTAGTAAAACAGTAGATCACCTTCTGGAATATAACACAGAGTTTGGCGATGTCTGGTGTAACAGACATTAGTAAAACAGTAGATCACCCTCTGGAATATAATCCAGAGTTTGGTGATGTCTGGTGTTTCAGTAACAGTGGATCACCTTCTGGAATATAACCTTGGTGTTTCCATCAACATAAAATAACACAACACTACACCAAAATGACTTTATCGAATTTTCAATTTCTAGGTTATCTTAGAGCTAAAATGAAACATTAATATGTTTTTATCTTTCTTCCCACAATTTTACTGGTCCATTCCTATCAACCAACAGATATATAAAAACCGTTTAATTACCTCTAAGGGTAAAAGGGGACCAGGCATAGAAAACATCACATAGCCCAAAAACGAAGTCCACATTAAAATCCAGAACATAACACGTTCACGATATTTTCTACGTTTCTCAATTTCATTGTCCGAGAGATCCAAAATCATCATTTTCTCCTCGCAAAATCCACCCATTTTTGTGGCAGACTTGTATCCTAAATGTCACATATGCAAATAAATATTAAAACCAAAAGCAAACTCTTTAGAATAATAAAACCAAATAAAACCATGAGCATTAATTCTCACCATCTAATTTTCAGTCAGACGTCTGTAGTTCTTGTAAATGTAGAAGTGCTTTTTCAATGTATTTAAAAACCTGCTTAGTCTCAGAAGAATTGTAAGAACCACAGACGTCTGACTGAAATTTAGAATGGTGCAAATCGATGCTATCAGTGTCACCGATACACAATAAGGAAAACCTCGTTACAATCTCTTAAAACTAACAACTCTGAGATAGAACAATCAATTAAAACCTCTGCAAACAGGTAAAAACTTCCAAATCAACTGCCAAACAGCAGATCTCAAATAGCAACCAAATTCTTTAGACTTACCAACTAGACCAACTTTAAATGCTGAAACGCTTACCTCAAAAGGAAAAAAAGGACCAAGCAAGGAATAACACGCATAATTACAGAAATTGACCAAGGAAAAGGTGAAGATTACAATTTTCTTCCGTGTATCAAGAGTCTGCAAGGCCCAATCATCTTTCACTTTAGCCGTGGATTCTGTATCATGAACATTGCCTACTTTGAAGAGCAATAGTTTTAAATTTTCCAATTTAGCGTTTGGCATTTTTACTTAGGCACAGAAATTAGGATGATAAAAGCACTGGCTCAGGGTTAAAGTTTTGTTCACAACTGTTGTAGTAAAAGAAAGTAATTTTGAAAGGTAGACCTAATGAATAAAAGTTAATGATCCCAGTATATATTCTTCTTATTCTTATCCAAACAATTCACTCTTCTGTATCAATTTCAAAAAAAGTAAATCCAGCATTAAGTTTGTGTACGATTACACATAACCAAGACAAGTTTACATTATTGCTCTATAATTCCACAAGAATAACTGAACACAACATTTTTACTGTGCAAGGCATAATCAATTAAAATTCTCATTGTTTCTAATATGATATTATTTCTCCAAGTTTAAGAGATACTACCACTTAGAAAGCACCTAGAATTAAACTTCTCAATCTTGGTCAATTAAGGTATAATATATTCATCAATGGACTTACATGGTGTCATAAATATACAACAGAATCCCTGTTTTATCTCCTATGATTTTTTTTTTCAAAATTAATTTAGTGTTAAGATAATTACTTAGTTTAATGGATATAACGTCTTTATATAGAGATTCTATTTATTCGTCATGGCACCAGGTAAGTCCAACTAATGAATATATAAGTTGAAAATTTGAATTTTATATTCATTCGCAGAGGAAGTATTCCTTTAAATAAAATATTGGTAAACAACCATAAAGTTGTTATCATTTCAATCTTACAAAATTAAATTAATGAAAATAAATAATTCAAACTCGATCACCTGTGTGACTCAATTAATCTACAGATCTAAGATAACTTTACAATCCACAAGATAACCTTATAATCAACTAGGTAACATAACAATCCACAAGATAACCTTATAATCAGCAAGGTTACATAACAATCCACAAGATAACCTTATAATCCACAAGATAACCTTATAATCAACTAGGTAACATAACAATCCGCAAGATAACCTTACAATCCACAAGATAACCTTACAATCCACAAGATAACCTTACAATCTACAAGATAACTTTACAATCCACAAGATAACCTTACAATCAACAAGATAATCCACAAGATAACCTTATAATTAACAAGATGACCTTACAATCCACAAGATAACATTACAATCAACTAGGTAACATAACAATCCACAAGATAACCTTACAATCTACAAGATAATCCACAAGATAACCTTACAATTAACAAGATAATCCACAAGATAACCTTACAATTAACAAGATGACCGTATAATCCACAAGATAACCTTATAATTAACAAGATGACCGTACAATCCACAAGATAACATTATGATTCACAAAACAACCTTACAATCAACAAGATAATTCACACAAAGCATCACAATCCACAAAGCTTCACTTAGAAGAACATAAAATAAACCTATTCTAAATCTTAACCCTTGTATGATGCAGCACAGCAAACCAGATATGTAAACAATATGATATTTAGAAGGGTTGTTAATGAGACTGATAGGGGAAAGATTGGCTGGTGGGCTGGCTGGCTGCCTGGCCTCACAGGGTTAAATCATAATTAGCTCTTCAATTACTCAACAATTTTCGGACTTTAATATCCATTTCATATCCTGTCCCAGTGAATTAAAAATCACCTTTTATATCAATGCAATTAAAGGGTTAATACCTTGAAATTTCAGTCTGAAAAGAAGCTTAAGTGATACAGCCTTTGTCTGTCAACTCTTATCACTTTTCAGAATAAAATCTGGTTAGTCTACAAGTAAATATATATTATATCATAACCATTTATAATTGATATACTTCTCATATGAAAAGTTCATTAGCTAAAAGCTAAGGTATTTCCAATATGTTGTTTTTGAAACCAAGTTTGTGTTTTGTGTCATACAACTACTATCTAATTGGCTAATGATTATATTTTGGTATATCGTGCCTTTTTTATGGATAGTGGTATGAAGACCTACCTTCATTTGACGTCATTGTGCAGGTGGTTACATGAACTTTAGCCAATTTGGAGGGCAGATTGTGCTAGTTAATTTTAACAGCGTGACATGGCTTAGACTAAGTTATGTCTATCCCCTGTCATTATGAAATTAAATAGGTTCAATTTAAACCATCTAAGCTTGGCCCCCCTTGACTTCACAATTTACAGAGACAAAATCATATTTTACACTGGTAAACTCATACTTTTTACAATTTTAAAATCACACTATTTACAGTGTTAAAATCATACTTTTTAACATGTTAAATCATACCCCTTTTTATGATGTTAAAATCATAATTTTTACAGCATTAAAATCATACTTTTTACAGTGTTAAAATCATACTTTAAACAGCATCAAAATCATACTTTTTACTGCATTCAAATCATACTTTTTACTGCATTCAATTCATACTTTTTACTGAATTCAAATCATACTTGTTACTGCATTCAAATCATACTTTTTTCAGCATTCAAATCATACTTTTTACTGCATTAAAATCATACTTTTTACAGCATTAAAATCATACTTTTTACAGCATTCAAATCATACTTTTTACAGCATTCAAATCATACATTTTACAGTATTAAATCATACATTTTACCATGTTAAATCATACTCTCTTCTTTTTTTTACCATGTTAAAATCATGATTTTTACAGCATTAAAATCATACATTTTATGCAGTGTTTAAAAATCACATTTTTGACTGTGTTAAAATCATACTTTTACAATGTTAAAATCATACTTTTTACAGCATTCAAATCATACTTTTTACAGTATTAATATCATACTTTTTACAGTGTTAATATCATACTTTTTACAGTGTTAATATCATACTTTTTACAGCATTCAAATCATAGTTTTTACAGTATTAAAATCATACATTTTACAGTATTAAAATCATACTTTTTACAGTATTAAAATCATACTTTTTACAGTATTAAAATCATACTTTTTACAGCATTAAAATCATACTTTTTACAGTATTAAAATCATACTTTTTTACAGCATTAAAATCATACTTTTTACAGTATTAAAATCATACTTTTACAGTGTTAAAAATCATAGTTTTTACAGTGTTAAATCATTCATTTTCTTACCTCACTGGGGAAAAATGGTGCCAACAAAGAAAAACAGGTGCAGGCACAGAAATTCACCAGACCAATCACAAAAAAAACAATTTTGTTTCTTCTACTGAGAGTCCGTAATGAGAATCTTCATCCACTTTAGTTGATGATTCTGATATTTGTCTTTCCCTGACTGACGTTGTTTGGATTCCATCGTAGGCCAATGCGTTTTCAGCCAGTAAGGGCCTTCTCTCTTCTCTGTCATTCTCTTTGTAACTCATGGCTGGAAAGTGTTATTTAAATCTTTCACTTTATCTGCAAAAAGAACCCCAAAAAACCCTGAATTATCTTTAAAAATGTTGCAAATTTGAAAGGAAAGCAGTGTGAAAATCATACTTTTTAAAGCGAAATAATCATACTTTTAAGGTTTAAAAATCAAATTTTTAAGATTTAAAAATCATACTTTTTAAGGTTTAAAAATCATACTTTTTAAGGTTTAAAAATCAAATTTTGTAAGGTTTAAAAATCATACTTTTTAAGGTTTAAAAATCATACTTTTAAGGTTTAAAAATCAAATTTTGTAAGGTTTAAAAATCATACTTTTTAAGGTTTAAAAATCATACTTTTTAAGGTTTAAAAATCATACTTTTTAAGGTTTAAAAATCACACTTTTTAAGGTTTAAAAATCATACTTTTTAAGGTTTAAAAATCAAATTTTGTAAGGTTTAAAAATCATACTTTTTAAGGTTTAAAAATCAAATTTTGTAAGGTTTAAAAATCATACTTTTTAAGGTTTAAAAATTAAATTTTGTAAGGTTTAAAAATCATACTTTTTAAGGTTTAAAAATCATACTTTTTAAGGTTTAAAAATCATACTTTTAAGGTTTAAAAATCATACTTTTTAAGGTTTAAAAATCAAATTTTGTAAGGTTTAAAAATCATACTTTTTAAGGTTTAAAAATCATACTGGCCTAAGTATACTTTAATGGGTGTAAAATCATACTTTTTGAGGAGTTAAAGATCTCACTTTTTAAAGTGTCAAAGTCATACATATTTCATCATTATTATACATTTTATATGTAGACCTATCATTTATTGTATCCATCTGACTGCATTAATCGTTTTGGCCTAAATTAGTACAATAAATGCTTTCAGATGAAAAATGATATTCAACCACCTTAACTGATAATAAATTCGTCTGCTAAACACAGGGTTATTGACCAAACCGGTATTACAGTCCTACTTTTCTACCTCCAGCGCAGAAGAGCTGTTTAACTGTATTGTATATGACAATTGGTATACATAATTATCATTTGCAGCATAAACCAACCTTAATCATGCAATATTTCGGCACTTACCCCTACCACATGTCTTCAAAAATATTGTGTTGAAATTTGGATAATGAATTCCTTATTTCAACCCGTAAACCTTCCCTTTTATTGCTGAGCGTTATGCAATATCATATACTGTCCGACATCTTTAACTGGACAATCAAGACATTGATTAAGTCGAGATTGTCCACGCTTTTTTTTTTTTTTTTACTTTCTCCGGTATACAAATAAAGTCTGAAATATAATTTTGGGGAGACCATTTCTTTTTTAAAATTTTTTTGCACTTCCTCTGTATTGTCTTAGAAAGAATTGTGATTGTAATATGTTTATTTTTCCGTTGTATTAGTTGGTCAAACCTTTGGGCCTCCCTGTGTGTCGTGGGCATTTAAGAAACGTTAGCCGCAAGTGTGTCCAACAAGCCAGTAATGGTGTGACAAAAGCAATGAGCCACCATTGATCTTAAGAGCATATATCAAATATGGGCCACTGCTTATTTGGTTTTTGAAGACCACAAAATGCTTATTGTACCCCCACTAGGACCGCCACCAATTTCTATGAAGTGACAATTAAAAAAAAATAATTTTAGCCGATCATGCGTGCGAATCATGCAAGCGAATTGATAAATTTTTTTGATAAAAGTCGTCTATTTAGGTCATATGCATCAGCTAGCAATGACTATGTGAAAAATCTCTAATGATAAGTGTGCGACTGCTGTAGAAATCGTATTAAAAAAGGGTGGTTTGAAGTGGCCCAACTACCACAGGAACTGGTTGAACCAACTACATTGGCCCCCTTCTCTAAGGGGGCCCCAACCCCCAGAGCATATATAGCCAGTTGAGCCGCCAGTTGAGCCGCGAGTTGATTGTAGAATTCCCGAACCAGTTAACGTAAAATGAGCTTCTTCGAAACCCAAAGAGCAGTGTCGGCCTCAGTCTCTCGGAACTTGAGGTACAAAGAGAGCAGACTGGCCGAATGGGGGAACAACTATAAAGTTCCCCAACTGACACCGCAATGACAAATTTCACGTATTTATTACCTTAGAAAATGATATATAATATAGTATTTACATTAGCTACTGTTGAGTGGGTCACTTTTTGACCGAATACAATATATACATATATTTACCGAAGGTTTTTTAAACTGGAATATCTAGACTACTTGAAGCTATGAGTTGTCACACGGGGAGGCTAAAATGAATCTAAAATAAAATGGACATCACGCGACATTTTCAACTGTGCTTATCGCGAATATTTATGAGCATGACATCTTTAAATGATAAGTCTGTGGATAATCTTGACCTCGAAGTACATATAATATGTACAGTAAAAACAAGGGGAGGGGTGGGAACCATGAATAACATTGTCACTCTATTGCTTGCTACCCCGGCCCCCAAAACCAACTGATGGTTCCCCACTTGTACATACTCAAATTGGGCGAGGAAGATAACTATTTTAATTTTCTCATATAAATAAATAAATAGAACATTTAAAAAAGATGAGGTGAACGAACGTGGATATGTTCCAACTTCGCTGGTTCTTGATGGCCAGTTTCTCCGGTCTCTGAGGGGAACATTCTAAAGAAACGTCACCTCTTGGAAATATTCACATTGGTTTTTAGACCTGCTTTGACCTCGTCCTAAAAAAATCCCCTGTTAGACTGATATAAGCATGACAAAAACTAAACCTTCATCTGGAGAAAACAACAATGCGTGCCAAAAGCTCCACCTGGTTGATACGAAACACAGAAAATGACGTCAAGAGCTCTAGGCGAACTAACGTCTGACAAGATCGCGCGAAAATTCCGCATCTGCTGGTAACGAGGATTAATTAAAAGCGCGCCAAAATACCACATCTGTTGGAAACGTGGTTTGATAAAAGTACGCTAAAAACATTTAATCAAATGGAACTAAAATTTGCCTAATCCTCATCCGCTATACCCGAGGCACTGGCATTATCAGTCTGGGTTTGCCCAGGGGCGAGAGTATCTGATGGTTCCCGCGTCTTATACGAAGACTGGGAATCGGTGTTCACTTTAGCTCTTGACCGCAAGGAGTCGATCTTTGAAGGTAACGCACGTATTTTGTTATCGGAAACATCGAGTTCCCTTAATGCTGGCATTTTACAAATGTTGTCTGGTAAGGATTCCAAAAGATTGTCCGAAAGATTTAACGATTCCAAAGAAGCCATTTTCACGATGTCGTTGGGGATTTGACTCAAGTCATTACTTGCTGCGTTCAGCGTTTTGATGCGATACAGATACGGCATATCCGTGGGTATAGCGTTAATGTGGTTGATCGAGATATTCAGCGTCAACAGGGACGCAAGGACATCAATACGATCCTCGGGAAGCTGCGACAATTCGTTATTTGAGAGGTTCAGGCGTACCAGTTTAACCAAATCTCCGAAATGTTCCGGAAGATACTGGATGCAATTAAACGATAGATTCAGGTCTTCGAGCTGATGCAGTTCCGTCAAAGGAACCGGAAACTCTACGACCCGATTCTGAGAAAGATCGAACTTCCGGAGGCTCTGCATAGTGTTGACGTTCGCTGGGATCTTCTCAATGTCATTATCGCTCAGATCCAACTCTTCCAAAAGCCTGAGCTTACACAACTCCTCAGGGATTTCATGTACCTGATTATGGGCCATCCTTAGTATCGTCAACATTTTCAAATGGCAGATACTGGATGGAATTTCGTCTAGTTTGATGCTAGAGATATCCAAGAAGGTTATCCTTTTCGCGTGTTTCTTTTCTTTAAGATGTACCAACATGGATCTGGGGTCCAACGATGGTGTGTGGATCGGGTTGTTAGATAAATTAAGGTGCGTAATTGTAGCCGGAAGTGGCACGTCTGTCAAGCTGTTATAGGAAACGTCCAGCTCTCTAAGAAATGCATGTGATTCCAGAGCCTTAGGTAATGCTGTGATATGGTTGTTGCTGACTTTCAACGACTCCATTACTCTTAACGGCGTGAGATCGCTGGGTATTCCAGTGATTCGGTTACTACTGAAGTCTACATGCGTCAGCAGCTGATACACCCCAAGGGTGTCCGGAAAGAACGATAGTTTGTTATCCTTCAGCAACAATTTCTTTAATGTTCCAATTTTATTAATGTCCATTGGAAGATTCCTTATACCATTGCCAATTATGTTGAGCTCTTTGAGGGCCTTCAGTTTTCCGATATCTTCTGGAAGACTTGGGATGCTGTTCATGGAGACATCCAAAGTCTCCAGATTGGTGAGGTTTTGGAGTCCGTCGATGGTATTCAAGCTATTTTGAGACACATTCAGATCTTTCAGTTGCTTCAGCTCAAAGAAGGACGTGGGGAGCGTTTCGAGTTCGTTGTTGGCAACATTCAGTGTCCGCAAAGACTTCATGGTGTTAAATCCGGCCGGAAGAACTTTCAGGTTGTTATTGCTGGCCTGAAGTTCCACTAAGCAAAATTGTAATGAGCAGATCTGATCTGGTAAAGCTGGGAGTTTATTGTGGGAAATATTCAAGTAGTAGAGGTATTTCAAGGCCCCAAGTTCCCCAGGTAATTCCGAAAGATCGTTCTTCGACAAATCCAAGTACGTTAGAGTTGAAACTTGGTTGATGGTTTCCGGGATATACGATATCTCATTCTCCGACACGTCCAAATATTTCAGTGTGGGAACCTTCACAGATGCGTCTGGCAGTTCGATCAACTTGTTCCCACTTGCGACTAACTTTCCGGGGATTTCGTAGATGTTCTTTTTCAAACTTTTGATTTGGTTTCTTGAGACATCTATAAACTCGATCACTGGACATTTCTGAATGGTTTTTGGTAAGGCTTTCAATTTATTATCCGCGGCGAGGAGAGTGAGTAATGCTGGTGCTTTGTGGATTGTGGCTGGCAAGGTTTTGATGTTATTCTTCTGGACATTGAGCACCTTTAGATTCTCTAGTTTCACAATCGTACCAGGGATCGCACCCAATACATTATTAGCCAGGTTGATTCGCTCCAGTTTCGAGATATCCGAGATCTGTTTGGGCAGCTTCTTCATCCGGTTGTTGTCCGCTAGCATCGCTCTGGAGTAAATCTTGATCTCTTCGTTCTGGAAGACTTCGTTGGGAAAGGCTTTAAGCCCCGAAGTGGAGTAGTCGATCGTAATTACTGCATCTTCGCGTTTCATGTGCTTCCGTATGTTGGGCGGCAGTGCACTTATCCTACTTCCGGGACCCATTGACGGGATTGGCTTATCATCGTCCTTCTTCATTCTGGAATAGAAACGGAAGAAAAATTGACTTAAGAGGGGTGTTACCGAATATGTGGTATTTTGAGTTCTTTAAATAAAGAATTGGAATTTTGTAGGACATGGAATTCGAGATAGATCATCGACCATTTAGGGTTCATTCAAAGCTGATTAGGCGTAACGAAACAATCCAGTCAGTCAAATAGATAAACAGGGTATTATATTGTGATATTGGCCCACTTTGGTGTCGGATTACGGATTAGCCACGTTATAGCGTAACAGTAACCAAAACACATTTCGACAGTCGGGGTATATCAATATAATATAATATCAAATATGGCTTACACGAAAGGTTTCGGTAGTTTGATATTCGGGCAATATATCACCAGCGAACTTTCCTGTCTGAGGTCCCTTCGCCTAAATCTTCAACACACACCCGATCAGATGCAAAAGGATCGACGTGTTAAAACAATACATCTCGCTCTTTTAACTTTTTAATCTTAGCTAACGGTTATTATTCCAGTCGACCCAGCAGTGAATGGATAGACACCAGTAATCCAGGAATGTCCATTGTTCATTGCCTGAGGAATTGATCAAGGACTGCAAGACTAACTGGAAGACGGGACTCGAATAGAGTCGAATAGAGAGGTGTAGAATAGTAGGCTAGTTCAGATCTGCGCAAGCTATGTCAAAGGTTTGGAAGCGGGAGAGACATTAAACAAGATCCACGAAACTTAATTAAGAGATCAAAGTGTTAAAACTCACCTTAACTCACGGGAATTCCGATGCTTTATTCCAAAAAGTTACTTCGGCCTAAAAATCACCGTAAATTGCTTTCATAACATGAAATTTCATTGAATTTTTTTTAACTGAATTATCTAAGTTTAAGTACTCCACTCATATTGATTAACTAACAGGTAGATATCGACGAGGCTCGAGATCGCGGATTTGATTGAAGCGATAGAGTATAATCTGACAACGTCACGCTCGTTGCTAAGAACGCCATTGTCTTTTTAATGGGTCTATCCAATCGAGACTTCTAATCTTGATTGGGTGTATAGTTTCAGTTTAAAGCGACCAGGGATTATCTAGTTTCAATTATCTCAATGGATTTTTATTATGGATTTATAAGTAGTATGCACATAGCAATAAGTGCGCAAAGTAGCCTAGACCTACTATAGGCGTATCAGGCTATTAAGAAATCTGTTTTTCAGTCTACAGGCTTAAACCAAATAAAGTTTTTAAGCTTGGAAATAGTTCAAATCTGGAAGATTTGGGAAGATATCACGAGTATTCAATCCACAATCTACAAAGCAATAACGGAATAATATGTTATTTGCTTTTGGCGGCTTTAATCGTTTATCTACAGCAGTCAAACATGCCTGGTTGCAGCTATGGGCTCACCCTAAGAAGCCTTTTCCTTGATATGCATCAAACCCCTTATTTTCAATGATATTCCTATAAAATTGTATGCGCGAAATATAATGTTACCTAGGTGTGTTCTGTAGCCTTTAAAATTAAATTAAATCGAGTTATCTCCCTTATATCACTCAACTTAATTCCACAGTCCCTTTACTTACATTGTGGTCTTAACTATTCATTATGGGGGAATTTAATGAATTTTCTGCACTTGATTGGGCTATGAAGAACGGCAATGCCATGCAGTGTTCAATGAAGGGCGGGGGATGGGGAGATGGAGAGGGGGTCTGGTACATGTTCAACAATAAAAACACAGGTGGAGTATTTCTAGAAGATGAATATATTAACATATAACATTAATAATACAGTCCCTGATCTAAAACAGTATTGTAATAATTACAGTAGCATCAGAATATAGCATTGATATTGTAAAATTTACATAGCATCAGAATATATAGCATTAATATCGTAATATTCACCTAGCATCAAAATATAGCATTAATATTGTAACATTGCCTAAGCATCAATACAATTAAATAGCATTCATATTATAGTATTAATATTCACAATACCTAGCATCCAATATTTATAGCATCAGAGACCACAGCATCAAACTTTAGCATTAATATTGATTAAAGTAGCATTAATCTGAACTAACATTAATAATGTTGAAATGATAACAAAATAAATGTTACAATTACTGATATTTTGGTACCATAATTATTACAATTACATACAGTATTCAAAAAGTTTACTAAGTAATTTTTGAAGATCCTATGCTTATCAATCTTTCCTTTAACAGTGATCCATAGGCTTGCCAGAGACAACTTAATCCAAGAATGCCTAGGGTTGTAGGTTGTAGGAGAGTTGGGGTTTGTCCAAACCATCTGACAGAAGCCACAAAGTGTACTCATCATGGTTCAATACAATTTAGAGCCCAACCCTTCTTCTCCCCCTCTTTCCCTTTTGATCCAGGCATAAAATCTTCAAAAATTGACCATGAAGAATAAGATCAAGAAAGAGTAAAAAGCCTTGTATATATTAATATATATATATAATAAGCTGAGAGATTTCAAATGTGGTTCCCTGAATTGTAATAGTTAGTAAACTGAACTGAGCTTAATCAATTTCTCTAGGTTCTATTGGTCTGGGCCAATACGGGGCCAATATTCTAGCACAGCTGGTACAATATGCCAAGCAAAACTTGACCAACTGAGCCAATAATTGTTGAACAACTGGGCCAATAGTCCTAGACTACTGTGCAAAGATTATTTCTTATCCAAAGCGAGCCTTTTTTCTTGTCCAATTGAATCTAAATGAGCCCTTAATGATGTCCAATCAAGTAATCAAGGACCTAAATGAATAAATTAAGCTCAACCCAGCTTTGAGGTAGTCTCCAATTCCACATTGAATCCAACAAATAAGGCTAAAAATAGTAACACATACTCAAAACATTAAAAAGGGATTATTTATAAAGTAAGAAAGGGTTGTTTGATTCAGAGAGTTATGCTTCCAGATTTTTGAAGCTTAGATATAGACCAAACCCCAATTTCAAAAGAATACCTTCACCAAGAAATCAATCTTCCTCTAAGAACAAATATGATTGGATGAATCAAATTCGAGGTCCAATCAAATGCTCTGTAACAGAATCTGGAAACCTAGATCAGTGAAGCAAACCCATCTCTTTCTGAGTAAATTGCAATATAAACAAAGTGACTACATATCAATTAAAATTTAATACATGCAAGATTAGTATTATAGCATATAATTAACATATAATTAGCATATTAATGAGCCTAATTAACATATGTGCTTATAGTATAGACATGTGATACGTGTGAATAATGTACAGTGTAGAAATACATGAATATTCATAAATTAAATTGGGAATACAAGGTAAAGAGATAGTTTTGACACTTTGAAACACGATTCAAAACCGATATCCTAATCGTATAATTATTATTAAATCTTAACTTTTATTCACTCAAAAACCTCTGGAATAACCACTTAAATCATAAATAACTTTTAGGTCAGCACTTAATATCCAATATAACTTTTGAATTAATAAAAATAAGTTTAATATAACCAATAACTTTCAATTAATAATATTAAATAATATTAAAATTTTATTATTTAATTAATTAAACCACTTACTTATATCGTATAACTGATATAACGTAACGAAACAAGTTTAAGCGATAATACACAGTGCTATTTGAGGAAGAAAACAAACTAACAAGTGCAATTACTAATTAAGCAAATTCAATAATCAAATACACTAGCAGGAAATTACAATAGTGCAGAAATTACAAGACTAATAACAAGAGTAAGGATAGCACTATATCATAAGGATAACACTTAAAACTTTATACAGTTTAGCACTTTTATGATGCAAGTTGAGTTACTTGGCAATAAGCAACTTTTTTCTACAAAACATCAACTTTAAAAAAACAAGCACTACTGAATGCAAAAGGAATGAAGGTTCATCTTAGCAAAAATTGCATTTGAAAGCATCAATATATTCAGATAAATAGCACTTTTGTATGCCAGTAACATTTCCAAAACAACATTATTAGACTGACTCATAAAACCTAATTTGATTATAAACGTGTAGTAATCGTTATGTGTTGTCCCAGGGGAATAAACAGGAACATATATCCTAGAAGAGATTAATGGAATTTAAACAACTGAGGGTGAGAGATATCTTTCACCTAGTTAAAATTGCCCATGGCAAAATGGAGCATGAATAAACCATTTTTTTTCAGCACAATACAACAGTTCTATACTATAAGAGATGATTCTACATATCAAGCAGAGCAAGGTTAAATACGATTAAATAGGTTCATGATATTCAAGGGTCAGAGGTCACAGCGATTTTTTTTGTCATCGTTTGCAGACTTCCATCTTAACACCTGAGTTGAATATAGTTAAACCCTGAGATTGTGGACCTACTTGGTTTACACAGAAAGATTTGAGATCAAAATCCAACCAACCAAGTAGACCCGATTTTTAATCATGATCACACTATGAGATCCTTTTTAACACAAATTTGGAATTTTGTCTTCAATTTTGCAATTTTGCTTCCTTTAAAACTCATTGAAATCATCCAATTTTTTACCTTTAACACATCCATAATTTTTTTCTCAAAATTCCTCAAAATAAGACAAAAATGAAGCCAATTTCTCCAGAAAAAAAATCAAAAATTTTCACAAAATGAGGTAGAAGTGAATATAAATATCGTCTTTCAAAAAAATGTTGAAAAAATAAATCTCATAAAATTTTTGAGCATGATTAAAAAAGAATGAAAATTAGATTTGGTGACACCCGTAATTAATATATTAGATGAAAGTCGGTAATCGAGGCAAAATCATATTTGACCACCTTTTTTACTC